ACGGCCTGCAGCGCGGGGGGGGGGGGGGGGAGACGGCGTAACTGTGAATTCGTTCGGAGATTTTATGTCGGGCTCGAGAGGTCCTGTCAAGCGGGCCCAGGTCTGCAAGTGCCTCCAGGACCAGGTGATGGCGCACACTGCAGCTGATGCAGCCGCCGCCAAGCAGAGCTGGAAGGAGTTTTCGGAGCTGGCGTTTGCCAATGGGGCCAGCCTGGCCCGCCGTTTCTCAAAGGGCCCCAAAGGGGTCACGGCTGCGGACCTGGCCCAGGGTTTACCTGTCGTTGGGCACGAAGCACTGCGAGATGTGTTGAAAGTGTGGCCCAGCCTTTGGGTCGCGCCAGCCAGGTCCGAAGAGCCCCGCCCTCTGGATTGGGATGTATCCCAGGCCGAGCCGCTGCCTCAGTTCACGGGCGACGATGTGAAGGCGGTGCTCATCTCTTTTAAAAGCAAGACGGCTCTGGGCTGGGATTGTTTCCATCCGAGGTGGGTTGATCGATTGCCCCCCGTCTTTGTTTCGACTTTGACCCTCCTCCTCCTCTCCTGGGAAAGGAATCCAGAGCTCACAGACGTCCGGCTGACCCTTATAGGTTTCCTGCCCAAGGTCTCAGGAGGAGCAAGGCTAATCGGCCTGCTCTTTTTTTTTTCGCGCGCTCGTGGTCCCGCCTCAGGCGCCGTGCCGTTGCAAAATGGGAGTCAACTCTACCAGACACTGGGGGGGCTCATGGGAGACCTCGTGTGATAAATCGGCTTGGGTTCACAATGTTCTAGCAAGTGCCGCCCCTGCGCTTAACCTCGTCAGTGCTAGCGCGTCATAGATCTCAGGATGTTTCACGACATGGTGTCTCATGCCGAGTTGCTGTGTGCGTTTAGGGGCATTGGTTTTCCTGAAAATCTTTTGAGGCCGCTTTGCGCACTGTATAGGGGGCCCAGGCGGGCCTCCTACCAGAACTCGACGTCCCACGAGATCTACGCCAATGGGGCGATTGTGGCAGGATGTTCGTGTGCCACTGGACTAGCAAAGCTCATGGCTGTGACGGTTCTACGGCATGTAGGGGCTAGATGCAGCCCCGTCAGGACCAAAAACTTGGTTGATGATATAAGTCTACACTCGGTCGGGGGCCCGCAGACGGTCGCTAGGGAGCTCAGTTTCGCTTTCAAGGAGACGGTGGGGCTACTTCAGGCTCGGGGTTTGCCGCTCTCTTGGGGCAAGATTGGATTTCTGTGCAATGACGCTGAGACCTTCTGTCTGATCGAGGACGAGGATGCTGATGTATGGCCAACGGGGGTCCCCTTTTCCAGGTCGGGGTCAATTTCACAGAGACCTTGGGGGAGATGCTGCCGACGGGCGTTATAGGCGCATAGGAACACAGCAATCTCGCATTCGTGACGCCATGACTAAAGGAGACAGGCTTCTGGCGCTCAAAGGGTTGGGAAGGCGACGTTCGGCGGTTCATCGCTCGGGGGTCCTCGCAAAGGCTCTACGGGGACGCTCTATCGCTGGGGTACCCAACAGCAGGATGCAGCAGCTCAAGGTGTCTTTTCTCACCGCGGGCGCTCGGTTCAAGCCTGGAGCCGCAGTGGGCCTCTCTCTCATGTGTGCCGAGAGCGGTTGGCACAGCGATCCTTCGGTCATCGCCACGTCCAATGCCATCCACACTTACCTTGTCATCGTGTCCACTGGGGCGATTATTACATCCTTAGTGTCGACCTTGATGGTTGCGACGCTGCCGATCCTGGGCGGCCCCCAGGCATGGCTGCAGCGCAAGAGCCCCATTGCTGGGCCCGTTTACGCTACTGGACGACGAAGGTCGCTCATGGGACCTCAAATTCTGTTCGGCCAATTGGATAGCGCGCGTAGTCAAGCTGGGGGTCAGACGCCAGAACGACCGTGATGTGCCGGCCACTTTGCAAGGAGCAGGCGCCACCAGGACTGGGCCCATCGCTTGGCAGTCGATCTCGGAGGCGCTGCACGGCAAGCGCCTCGCGCCCCACCAGAGGAACTCGCTTCGGGGTGTGATCGCTGGAAGTCATTGGACACAAGTTCGGATTGCTCGATCCTTCGCAGGCTACTCCTCGCTGTGCACCAGATGCCAGGCAGCGCCTGGCACTCCGTTTCATCGTTTCTTTGGGTGCGACGCTTTCTCTGCCCAACGGCAGCTGTCCATACCGCCTGAAGTTCAGAGGTCGGCGCAGCGAATGAGGCGCGAGGCGGAGGACAGGCAAGAGAGATTCGCCCGAGGTCTTCTCCCACACCCAGGGCTGGCCTTTCACGGCGCAGGCCGAACCAGCCAATCTGACATGATCGATGTGGATCGCCGAGGTGTGACGGCGGCCAACGGGGGCTATGCTTTCGTCGACGGGAGCGCGCGGTCAGTTCGAGTGCCTGAGCTGCGGTCCGCTGGTTGGGCTGTCGCTGTCTACGATTCGGACAAGCGACGAGTGGCTCGATACTATGGTGCTGTTCCCCGCCGTGAAGGGCCCAGTCAGGTGGCTCGAGACGGAGGGGATTATGCTATCATGAAGGCAAGCGAGCTGCTCATGGGTTCGTACCAGGTTAAGTCGGATTGCAAGGGTTCGGTCGGCTGTTGCCACAGGGTGGCGGCAGCGTGTGGACCAGGCAATCTACGAGCGCACATGTGGAGGAGGACGGCGATAAATGACGATTTCTGCAAGGCACCCGTGTCTCACGTGAAGGCACGCGCCAGCATGGAGGATGTCAGGGGCGGCGTCGTCAGCTTGTTCGATCGCGCTGGGAATGCCGAGGTCAACGAGTTGGCCAAAGCAGGGGCATCCTTCCATGCAGCTGCGGAAGGTCAGGAGAAGCTCGTTCGTGGCGCGATGCGCCTTCGCCAGATGCTGCTGAGATGCATTGCCCAGTTTGTGGTCTGGTTCCACGAGCTGGGCGGCGACTTCAAGGATTACCTCTACCCCGACCCCGGGGAGGACGATTTGGCCGCGCCTCAGCAGCAGGCGGCGGCGAGGGAGCCCCTCTTGTACTGGCCGTGGTTGGTCCAGAAACATGCCCTGCTGGAGTACCCCGCGGTCGGCCACGACCGCTCGCTCATTTTCTGCACCAGCTGCTGCAAGTACTCGGACACTGGCAGTCTCAACCACAGAGGGCTGGATCAAGTGTGCTGTGGCAGAGAAGGGGGCAGCGGAAGGATTGCCGAGAACGCCGGGCACTTCAGCAGGCTCCGACATCCTCAGTCGCTGCACAAAGACATTGCTTTGATGGGGGCTCGGCGACCCCCGGCCAGAGCCAGAGCCCCGGCGTGCAAATCCAAAGGTTGGAGGGGCCCACTCAGGGATGAGCTTGAGATTGTTTACAGACCAAAAGTCCGAGTACGTGCTGAACCCCAACGCCATTTGGACACAAGCGCTATTCTGAAGGATTATGGTCTTCTATACCCTGAAGCTTTGGAATTGGGAGCTCCGCGTGAGTCAGACAGTGATGATGAAGTGGATTTTGACATGGTTTAGTGGTCGGGCCGACGCTTCCCTGCCATCGGCGGCCAGGCCTCAATGTTCTCGGCCCTTGAGCCATGCACCCTTGGCAGGGACATTCTGCTCCCACCTACGGCGGCCAGCCCTTAATGTTCTGGGCCTCGTGGCTTGCACCTTGGGTGGGAGTTGGGTCGGTCTGGCCGCTTTCTTTTTTTCCAGTGTACTTATGGCAGTCCGCGGCGGTGTTTGATCCTGGACTGCCTGCGCCTTCTCAATGTCATTTGCCACGTCGGTTTTGTCGGCGACGGGCTGAGCGGCCTCCTGATCTGGATGCCGTTCGTTCGGGAACTCGGCACCGTGCCGAACCTCGGGCACCTCGCCACGGCGGGCTTCGTGCTGGTGAGCACAAGCCTGCCGCAGGCCCGGTGCTCCCTGCCTGCGCCGCCGTGGGCGGCCGCTCGGAGGCGTTCAGTCACTTCTCTCCCCCTCCCTGGCGGTTGCAAGGTGGTCCTGGCCCTGCGGCTCCACCGTGCAACTGCTGGGGCGGGGTGGCGTGGTGCTTGAGCGTTTCCCTTTGTCTCTGGATCCTAACGCCCCTCGGCTTCTGCTCGCTCTCTCGCCCTCCCCGTCTCCGTGTCCTCCCCTTGCCCTTGCGCTGCCCTGCCTTTGTGCGTTGTGTGCTCCCCCGCTCTCTCCCTCATTGGCTTCCCCTCCCCGTCTCCCTGTTTCTCCGTCTGGCGGCCCAGCCTGTCCTTTCCAGTCGTCTTCCCTCCCTCTCCCTCCTCTTTTTTGCTCCTCGGCTCCTCGCTGTCCTGCCTGTTTCTGTCCCTTGCCTTGCCCGCGTTTCTTTGTCGGCCCGCCCCGCTGTCCGAGCATGAGACGCGTCGGCCCGCACTGCCGCGCTGAAGAACTGCCGGGAGCGACGCCTCCCCTCAATGTTGTTCATTGTTGCCAGGTCTTGGCGCATGGCGCGGCTGGGATCGTTCATTAGTTGTCGATGCCGTCGCATATCACCAGGTTCCGAGCGCGGCCCAGACAGAGGCAAGCGATCTGTCCGACTAGCTGCTGCTTTGTGCCGTTCTCCGAGGATGTCTCTGGCGACCGTGACCTACAAGTCACGTCACCATTGGCGAGGCAAGAGTGAAATCGCGCCGCGGGGAGCTAGCCCCCGCCCTTCAAATTCGAAGCCAGGGGGAGAAGGAGGGGGGAGTGGGAGCGGGAGAAAGGATGGGAAGAGGAAAAGGAGGATTGAGAGGAGGAAGCGTGCGGCGCCGCGGCAACAGGAAGAAAGGATGGAAGAAAACAAAAACCGGGGATTATAGGTCAACGTATCGATACGGAGGATGGCGGCACGGTTCATTCCTCGTCCCCCGGTCCCTCCCCCTTTCCTTCGTCCTTCCCTCGTCCCCCCTTCCCTGGTCCTTCGTTCGTCCCTCGCCCCTCGTCCCTGCCATCCCTCGTCCCTCCCTCGTCCCCCCCCCTCCCTCTTTCCTCCCCCCTCCCCCGCTCCTCGAGGGCAGGGGAGATGGGGGCCCCCTCCCCTCCCCTTCCGCGAGGCTGGCGCCGCCAGGGAACTGCCGACCCTCTCGGACGGCACAGAGGCCGCCGGCCCCCCGTCGCCCGCGCACGGGGAAGGGGCCGGCGGCGCGAGCAGGCGGAGGAGCTTGCCGAGTGTAGCGCAGGGCGCCGCCTTCTTCCGGATCGGCCACGTCCGCCGCGTGCGCGTCGCCCTCTTCCTCTCCTCCGCCTCCTCTCCGCCTCCTCGTCTCAGGAGGGGAAAAAGCACACAGACACAATTGATCGCCGATTCCAAAGAAAATATGGGAAAATATGGAAAGTGGGGGGAAGACAGAAACCCAGAAAATATAAGAAAATATAGGGAATCTGGTTATTTGTGTCTATTTACTTGTGTGTCCCAGTTTCCCCTCGTCCTCGGTCACACCGCCGCGTCCCCTTCCGGTGAACCCCTCATGCTCCCTCCCCCTACCCTCTTTCTCCCATCGCCTTCGCGAGTGTTCCAGTCCAGTCCCGTTTCTGCCGAACCTGTTGTTGTGCCACCCTTCTCCTTTCCCTTCCAGTTACCTGCGCCCATCCCCTTCCCCCGTCCGCGTTGCCATTCCGCTTCACATTCCTTTTCTCCTTCCCGCTCTGGTGCAGGCATTGGAGGGGAAGGCCGTTGTGGATGAGACAGTTGAAGATGAGGAGTAAGGTAAGGAGGAGGAGGCGGAGGAGGAGGAGAAGGCAAGACGGATGAGAAGGATGAACAGCAGGATGGAAATTGTGCTGGTGATGGTGATGGTGACGGTGGTGGTGGATTATGGTGTTGATGATGATGTCGATGATGATGCTGATGCTGATGCTGATGTTGATGGTGAGAATGATGATGAGGATGAGGATGAGGATGAGGATGATGCCGATGCCGATGCCGATCTTGATGATGATGATGATGATGATGATGATGATGATGATGATGATGCCGATGCTGACGTTGATAATGGTGATGTTGAAGATGGTGTTGGTGGTGGCGATTATGATGCTGATGGCGATAATGATAATGATAACAAGGGTGATGAGGATGAGGATGCGGATGAGGATGCGGATGATGACGATGATGATGATGATGATGATGATGATGATGATGATGATGATGATGATGATGATGATGGTGGTGGTGGTGGTGGTGGTAATAATAATAATAGTAATAATAATAATAATAATAATAATAATAATGGCGACGACGACGATGCTGACTACGACGACGAGGATGAGGAGGCTGTCGAATGATACTAAGACGATGACGGATAGCATTTCTGCTAACACGAATGGTTTGTATCATTCATCCAAATGGCCGGAAAAATGCGTAGTCGCCTTCGATCAAGGTTGAATGATAGGAAGCTCGAGGAACCGAGAACCAGCGATGAACTTTGGCGGTGTGTGTGGCCCGGGGTCGGCCAGCTTGGATGGGAAGGCCTTGGCAGTTTCCACCCCATTTTTCTCCACATACTGGCGACCCAGAGATGTCGGCGGATGCTGCACCTGAATGGGAGAAGACATGTTATTCCGGTGACCAGCATGGACGCGAAGCTCTCGGGGATCCAGAATGATCTCGCGACGTCCGTCGTATAGGGTCGATTTCAATACTCTCGCGGCCAGGGTCGACACCCTTGAGGCTAGCATGGGGCAGTATCAAGGCTCGGACGATTCTATGGCAGGCGTATCGGTGGACGCGAAAAGACAGGTGCGGATGTCGCATCTAGAGGACACCGTGCGCAAGATAGGTGAGCAGCTCACGGACATGAATCGCACGCCACTTCCCACGGTTGAAGAAGGGCCGCTATCCCAGTGATGCCGTACGCCCAGCCTTGCTTATACACGCCCATCACCAGGTACAGGCTCGAGGTCGAGGTCGAGCTCAAGCCAAACGTCTTGTTCGCTTAGGCTTCATTCGCCCTTCCATGAGCTTTACATTGCGTCTTGCGTCTTAGGTCGTTCGGTATCGTTGCGTACCACAGCACATGCAACATCCGGTTGTCATCAAAGGGCTCGGCCTGATCAGGAAGGTCATCTATGAGTTCACGTCGTCGTTCGCTGCCTTAGACGTCCCAGCCAATTCCCATCGAAGGTGGCATCAAGTTTCTTGACCCCTAGGGCGGCCACTTCACGCTGAAGGCGCGGAGGGACCTCAACCTGAAGGATCGGAGGTTGTTCCTCCCGATGGGGAAATTACGCCAGAAGTTTGATGCCTACTACAGGGTCGGTTCCCAGTGGGCTCGAACGTGCTAGGGATGTATACGCATTACGGGGCGAGGAGGGTCTTGCGCAGCGTGCCCACAGCACGGTTGTCGAAGGGTGCGATGACGTGCAGGTTGAGTTTCACAATTCGATCCTGAGTGAGTAAACGAATCTTTTTGAGGTGAGGAGGTTGCCATGGGGCGCCCTTGTCAAGCAGGCACGCAGCAGCGTTGGCCGACGTTCGCTTGGGCGCCGCGTGGCCAGCGCTCACAGCCCCCCCCCCTACCAGCGACAGCAAGTCTGACAGCTCAGACACGGATGATGATGGGAATACTACGGACCTTCATTTCTCCCCCCACCGCCCGTCTTTGATTTTGACCTGGAACGCACGCGCTCTCTTTTCTTTCTGTTCGCTCTGGCGGTGATTGAGCGAAGAAACATTATCGTGAGTTCCTGCAGCTGCGTGAACGGTGTGATATTGCACGCATACGAGAACGTCACGGGGGGGGGGCTCCGTCAGTAGTTGATGGGGGCGCGGCATATGTGCTTGGATTTGTGCAGCGGTTTCTGAAGGAGTCGTCGTCACCATAATTCGTATGTCGCTAGCGGACCGTTTCAGTCGCTTCCGGCATCAAATTATTTTGCAGGGGTATTCGCGCGTTGTGAAAGGCAAGCGGGCGCCTTCTTGTGAACAATTTGCACGTTCCTACCACGCGTGACGGTCAGCCGCTCCATAGGCAGGTGCTCTCGCGGATATGCAGTGCTCTACCCGATGCCGCGACGCGTTTCAACTTGGCCATGGGCGTCTGGAGCGCTTCCGCCAGGAGGGAAAGGGGGCGGGCGGGCGTTGGAGGAGGCTCAGTACTTCGGGACTACGTGCGGGAGGTGGGCCGAGCTTCACCCGCGTGGTCCAACCAGATACGGGCGGGGGAATGACGCGGGGACTCACGCGCCGAGGCCAAATCGGAAATACACAGTGACCTCGCGATTATCTGGCTGACCTCTTTCCGCAAGCAAAGGTGTTGAGTCGGCCGAAACATTACGAGCCATCCGATCACTTGCCGATGGCTGTGTCTCTCCAGCCTGTCGACCCCCGCGACGCGCAAATTGTCCGCGCGCGGTCCAGCGAAACCCCGACGCATGGTGACCTTGCGAAGGAGGCGCTCGGCGAGATCCCGCCAGAGCTGCATCCCTCCAGGCATCTCGGGGCCAAAACGGCCATGCACGACCGCGCCTTGATTGCGAAGTTTTTTTTGAGGAAGAGGAGCAGGAGGAGGAGGAGGAGGAGGAGGAGGAGGAGGAGGAGGAGGAGGAGGGGAATGGCAGCCCGAGCAGGATGGCACCATCCCGGGGCCAGGGGGCGCGCTTGTGGTCGCCCGCGGAGGCGTTGGTGGTGCTCGAGTTTAGGGCGCCCTGGATCGAGGAGCAGCTGGCCACCGCGCGCGAGACCGTCTTCGCGCAGCTGGGGACACCCCGACGCTGGGAAACAAGAGTCAGGGGCAACGTTATGTGTGTGTGTGTGTGTCTGTGGGGGGGGTGGGCTCAGGTGAGGGTGGTGCGCTTCGACCCCCAATCGCCCACTCATTGCTGATAGTGGGTCGATGGCCCACCCTGCCCAGGAACGGGTTGGTTTGGCCCTAAATGGGAGGAAACAGCTTACTTGCAATTCCGGAGCCTCCCCGCTTTAAGATTCGGGTCTTCTCCGGGGCTTCCAGTAGTTGCGAGGGGGAGGCCATTGGCGGCGACGACACGAGGCTGGGTCAACCAGGCAGGGGCCCACCTGGGAAAGTCCCTAGAGGCTCCAGAATACACTTTCGAGGATGACGCGTGCCCGCGCCGTTCGGAGCTGCTGCTGGTGATTACTAGTTTATGTTGTTGCTGTTGTTGCTGTTGTTGGTGGTGTCGGTGTTTGTTGTAGTTGGTGTTACTGTTGTTGTCGTTGGTGTTCTCGTTATTGGTGTTGTTGCTGTTGTTGTTGGTGGTGCTGTTGATGCTGTTGTTGATGCTGCTGTTGTTGATGTGGTTGTCACAGCGACGACTGCTAGTTGTATCACAGACATAATATGTAGTTGATCCTGCCTGCGGCAAACCTCGCCGCCGCGCATGTGTAACAGCGCAGCAGAGAACAGGTTGAGTGTAGGAACGGCGCAATTCCGACGAGCGGTCTGACTTGGGGCGGGTCGTAAAGTTGACCTCGTCTTCGTCCACGCGGTAGGGAGGTTGCCGTTTTCACGCCTTGTCTCAGTTCATCGATGGGTATGAATTGGGGAGGGTGGTAATCTCGACCTCGTCTTCGGCCGCGCGGTAGAGAAGAAGTCGAATTTACGACCCGCGGCGGTTCAACGATATGTCCGGTTGAGGAGGTCCGTGATCTCGACCTCGTTGTCGTCCACGTAGAAAGGGGGGAGGTAGTTCAGCGAGTGGATTGATTAAAGGTGGGTCGAGACGTCGACCTCGCGTTCGTCCGCACGGTGCGGAGGAGGAAGAGGAGGAGGAGAAGGAAGGCGAGGAGGAGGAGGAGGAGGAGAAGGATGAGGGGAAACGAGGAGGAGGAGGAGGAGGAGGAGGAGGAGGAGAAAGAAGAGGATAGGGAGAACATGCAAAGAAGGAGGAGAAGGCCTCTTAGGGGCCCTCTTGGGGCCTCTTGGGGGCCTTTCGGAGGGCCTCCCAGTGCATGATTCGCCGTCATAGGGAGGAGGCTCTTGGCCCGTCGGACGCCTTCGGAGGCCGTCTTGGGGCCCTCTCTGGGCCATCTTGGTGCACCCTTGGAGCGCTTGAGGGCCCTCTTGGGAGCCTCTTGGGCGATCTTGGGGTTTCATTGGGGGCCTCATGTTTTTTTTTGGGAGCTCTCGTGGAGGCCCCTTGGGTCGTCTTGGGCGGCCGGAAACCCAAACAGTGAGAACCTCACAATATATCACAACCGATGGCCAAGCAATGGGTTTGGCCTCCTCGGGCTCTCCTGGGGGGGCCTCTTCGAGCCCCCGTTTGGCCGTCTTATCTTGAGCCGTTTTTGTGTCTTCTTGGCTATTTGGGAAGCCCTCTTGGAAGCCTCCTTGGCTATTTGGAGGCTGAGCGGGGCGCCTGGGAGCAATTTCGGGGGAGGCTGTCTCCGAGGGGCGCTTGGAACGATGGGAGGTCGGCCCTAGAAAACTCTTGAACGATTTCTTAGACATCAAACGAGGATTCTAACACGCCCACTCCGTGCAGGCACAGTGGCGGATGACGGGCAGCGCTTCCGGCGTGAACCACTGGCTATGAGGCTTAATTTTCTCTAACTAAAGGGTACGGATTTCATCCCGAAACTCGCTGGCCGCTGGCGGGGTGAGCGTCTCCGAGAAACGAGAAGCGAGTTGGACGCTGTGGCTGAATACGTATTTGGAAAAATTATCGAAGATCCGCGCGCGCGCCGCGAAACGTGGGCGGGCTGCACTTGGCCGTTCGTTGACGGATAACGGGAAGCTCGCGCAGAAGGCCCTTGCTCGAACGATTATGGCGATTTTCTCCGTGTCAGCGGGGTCGCCAGCCCCCGCGCATCATGATTGCAGATCGATGGCGGGACATGTTTCGTTTCTCTTCTTTCTGTGCGCCACCGCACGCCGACTTGAACCGCGCTGGAGGCCCGAGCGTTCGGTGGCGGCACGACCACCGTGGAGCCCCATGCCGTCCAACGACGACTACGACGGGGGCGAGCCAGTGCAAAGCCTGGGCACATCCTACAGTACCTACCGCGCCGCGCTCGCCAGAGGGCGGGCGGGGTACTGGGGCGACCGCCTAACACGTTAGGATACAGTGGCGAACCGTTGCAGCTGGATCTCACACGACGTCCCTGTCCTTACGCTTCACCATTACCATGAAGGGATCGGCTCGGTTCGGTTCGGTCCGGTTCTGCAGCCGGGTCGGTTTTGCTTGGCCTGTTCGGTTTGGCATCGGTCCGGTTTCGGCCGGTTCGGCTTGGGCCTGCCGCCAGTTCGGTTCGGTTTCGATTTTCGCGCGGTTGGGTCCGACCGGCTCGGTTCGGTTCGAGTGGCCGTTCCGGTTCGGTTCGGCCCGACTGGTCAGGTGCGACGTTGGGCGCCCCGTTTGCGTAAGCGACGACCCAGTTTGAAAAAAAGGGAGGGAGGATGGGGGAGGAGGAGGAGGAGGAGGAGGAGGAGGAGGAGGAGGACGAAGACGAGGAGGAGGAGGAGGAGGCGGAGGAGGGAGGAGGAGGACGACGAGGAGGAGAAGGAGGAGGAGGAGGAGGAGGAGAAACGTGGAGGCGTGGAGGCGCGAGGCCCCCCAGCGACGTGCCCCGAGGGGGGTCGCAGCCCCGAGGGGGGCGCAGCCCCGAGGGGGGTCGCAGCCCCGAGGGGGGTCGCAGCCCCGAGGGGGGTCGCGCCCGCGAGGGGGGTCGCAGCCCCGATGGGGGGTCGCACCCGCGAGGGGGGTCGCAGCCCCGAGGGGGGTCGCACCCGCGAGGGGGGTCGCACCCCCGAGGGGGGTCGCACCCGCGAGGGGGGTCGCACCCGCGAGGGGCGTCGCAGCCCCGAGGGGGGTCCTGGGTCCTGGGGTCCTGGGGTCCCGGGGGTCCTTGGGTTCTTGGGTCCTGGGGTCCTGGGGTCCTGGGGTCCCGGGGGTCTAGGGTGGTCCTGGGGTCCTGGGGGTCATCGGGGTCGTGGGAATCTTCGGGAGGTTCTGGGGTCATCGGGGTCCAGGAGTCCTGGGGGTCATCGGGGTCCTGGGGTCCGGACCAGAGGGGAAAGGGGTTCGGTTCGGTTCCCGTCGGTTCGGTTCAGGGGCCGCCTGGTTCCGGTTCGGTTCCGGTTCTGGTTCGGTTCGGTTCTCGCCGGTTCGGTTCTGAATGAATCCGGTTCGGTCCGGGTCGGTGTTCTACGTTCCTGGTTTTGGACCGGGTCGGTCCGGTTCGGTCACGGTTCTCGGTTCTCGGTTCGGTGCGGTCCTTTCATGCATTACAGATGTTGAGTCAGGAGCAGTATGGGTTTTACAGTTCTGTGATGTTCATTCGTGGTGGTACATCCTTGCTTCTACAGATTTGTCTCAACTGGGTCCCGTGGCTGGTCATTCTTCGCCGTCTTGTACGTGTCGCAACAAGGAGTATCAGAGCAAATGTCTGGTGACTTTGAGTTTGGCTCGACCGGACTACTATACTCGCCCTGTTACGCTCTCCGTGTGCTCAGCTGTCTCCTGTCCTTGTGTACTCGCATTGCGGTGCATGACGCCGCCACCTTTGCTATGCTGGGAAGGGCGGTCTGCCTTCCATGCGCGTCACTTTCGCCTGTGTCTGCACTCTCCCTCTCTGCTTGTTTCCCACCGCGGCTGCAACGACATGCCGCCTGTCTCGTGGCCAGAGGGCCATGGCCAGTCGTTTGCGCCCGCCACCAGAGGGTGGTAGCCACGCGTGATGTTACCTAGATACACATGCGCGCGGGTCACCCCAGAGCGGGTAGGCCTTGTCGAGGGCTCGCGAGACCTCTAGATCGGGGTTGCGTCTTCTAACAAGCGCGCGCAGAGGCCCTGTCTCGAGTGCGATCGGCAGTTCTCCGTTGTGTCCGCGGGGTCGCAAACCCCCGCGCGGCAGATTTGCTTGGCGATTTCAGTAGCGCGTCATGCTTGACTCGCCACTCATTTGGCAGCACAGCATCCTTTCTGTCTACGTGCTTGCAGCCGCGCGTTCTGTTAGCAGCAAAGCATCTTTTCTGCAATCGTCTCCTCACCGACATCGCGCGCTGTGGAGGGCCGAGTGTTGGGCGGCGGCGCGACCAACATGGGGTCTTCGCGGCCGTCTTGGGGCCCTCCTGGAGCTCTTTCTCGGGGCTCTCTTGAGGTCCTCCCAGGGCCTGATGGGAGCCCTCTTGGGGCTCTTTTGGGGCGTCTCGGGGCCTCTTGGGGCTCTCTCGGGGGGTCTGGGGGCTTTCTTGGGGCTCTTCTGGGATGCCTGAGGGGCTTCTTGGGGCCGTCTTGGATCCTTTCGCAACAAAAAAAAACGACGCCCCTTCGGAGGCTCAAAAATGCTTTCTGGGGGCTTTCTCCGCTTCGGGAGCGCTTCCGGGCGCTCTCGGGGCCGTCTTGGGGCCATCTCGATGCCTCGAGGGCCCGTCGGAGGCGAAAAAGCGAGAAGGCAAGGCAACACATGGTTTTTCCATCGGTGTTTGAAGGACGTGGGCCTCTTGGGGGGTTCTCGGAGGACTCGGGGGGCATTCGAAGCCGTCTCGGGGCCGTCATGGGGCCTTTTGGACGCGCGCCGGAGGCTATCTTGAGCCATCTACCGCTATCTTGGGCCATCTTGGAGGCCATCTCGCGTTCTCTGAAGCCCACTCGGAGCCATCGCGGGCCGGAAAGGGCCCCCTGACACTTCGCGGGGGGGCCGGTCCAGACGCGAGCAGGGGGAGGGGGGAGGTTGGCATAGGAAACGCTCTAGACCACCTGCGCCCAGAGGGCTGGCGGGATCTCGCCCGGGACATCTTCGG